AATGCACATTTTCGAAAAATATGCTGTAACGATGATAGATATCGATATGCGGTTTTCACCATTAGGTTTGTCATAAAATTTGACCCACAGACTCAGCCATCAGTTTTTATCTATCTAGTTTGAAAACAGAAGTTTCCCTTTGGAAGGGTCCAATTTGGCCCACTCTGTACGTATGTGTCTCTCCTCGATACAGTCTTCAGACACGTTTTGATGTATTCATTTATTTTTTTAAGGACAAAACACAAGCACTACAAAAAACTCCTTAAGACACTCTAAGAGCGGTGCATGTGCTAAAGTAGTGATTCACATTGGATTTGAATCGCTGGAGGAAGTTTATTCCACATAAACGTAGTTCTCCAAATGGAAGAGTTCTTAAACAGTGGAGTTCAAGGTGTATTGATTTGAACCTCAAACCTGCGTTAAAATATCTAAAGAAGAGCGGCAAAATCCCAACCCTTCTTCGATGTTCCAAACTATCAAGGTTGCAAGTGATGTCGCGTCTTCTATCAGGTGAATGACTCTTTCTGGATGGAATCCAGCAGGTTCAGGGAATGCTTAGGGGCGAAGCTCGTTACATGAGGACAATACTTCAAAGACGGTCTGATTTTAGCTTTATAAAGCATCAAAAGTTGCTATATTCAACTCCTTCACAATTTGCCATAAAAGATATTTTGTCATTCGTCACAACCGTTCTTTCAAATTTTTCAGCATTTCACAGAATATGATCATTGGTACACATTGTAGAACGAATTGAATCATTCTGAAATAACGTAGACTTTATTGAAGGCATGTATTATAAATATATTTGAGACAATCAATCAAAATTTACTGATTACCGTCAAGATGTCAAAACACCACCAGTGGAGGATTCATGTAATTATTGAGAACTCTTTTCACATCATCATAGGATTTTGGATTCGATAGTATTTCCAAAGTGTGATTGATATTCAAATACTGTATATTATCTCCTCGGACACGTGGCCAAACTATGTTTTCTAAGGTTGGATTTAAATTTGGTGTTGGGTTCCTGAAATGTAGAAAAGAGAATATTTTATGAACACATTGACCCATTACTTTATGGGAATTCATAATACTATATATGATAATAAATATATAATTTTTGCAATGAATTTTCGTGTTTGGTTACACGGTAACTTTATTATGTATGACCTGCTACATCAAACTATTCTACAGTGTCTTTTAAATGCCTACAATTACCGATTATGTTCGCGAACATAAAATTCATTGTGAAAATTCTATAACTATTATCACAGATTTTTCATTGTAAAGGGACTATAATAATATTACATAATTTATTCATTATTGACCACTATACTGATATGAGACGTGGCCAGACTGTGTTATGTAAGAGTTCATTTTGAATTCAGAGAGGGATTTGTATAAAGTAAAAAATACAAAAAAAAAATGCATTCGTGATCCTATACCAGACACCGTTTTGAACCACCATAGATAACATTTCTGCGCTTGAAGGACGCGCCTAACGGGACGGTAGTCGGTTGGGTATGCGTGAAAGGTTTTCTCCAGAAGAGAAATGCAAAATAACTGGGAGTTAATCTGGACAAGCGGTTGAATTTCCGGGAGCACTGACGTTTGGCAATTCAGAGAGCAGGAGCGGCAGTGAAACGCAACAACCCTCTCATTGCACGAAATTCCAAACAAATTACTGATATACAAACAAGTTATCAGTCTGGCTATGTTGTACACTTGTCCTGTGTTATGCAACCACAAGGATACCCCATTATATCGAGGCTTGAGAAAATGCAGAACAAGGTGCTTAGTATTGTGACCGATAGCGATCGATACGTTACATTGGAGCGTTTGCCAACTATATCAGAAGTCGAGCCGATCAAGTCCGGCAGTAGCCAGTTAAACTTGATAGTCACAGCGTGAACCATCTTTGAGAGACCTGGATATCAACACCATGTGTGTATCAACCTTGTCAGGAGGAGCGCAACTCGATAACGTCGCGGGGGGACGATCTCCATCGCCCCTACCAGCAGGGCCATGAAGGCACGTCTGAAAGTAGAAAAAGCTTCTACTTCTTCACCCTCAAGGTGGAAGAAACTAATGAAATATTTATGTCTCGTACTCCATAATTTTATACCGAAAGATGTTAATTTCGATTCTTCATTTTGGTTCTCTCCACCAATTCAATCGACCATTGTGTGAACCGATGGTTCGAACTCAGAAACTGAATTATCGATTCTCACTGCCTATCGTCCAAACTGTGTTAGGAATCTAACTTTGGAAGGCAAGACCTCGTTAATCCTTAGCTAGCACAAGTTTAGACTTTTGACAGATGTCAAAAGTCTAAACTTGTAATATGTAATAGCTAACACGTTTTCACTTATCCCCCCACCCGCCCCTAACCACCACAACTTTATATTCTTAAATGGCAACTCCCTACTTGTGATTCCTTGTCTGGAAGCTCTTGAGAAATGCTCTTCAATGGTACCCTACCAAGCTTCATTCGATGTACTGAATCTTGGTTTATTAGATAGAACACTATTTATTCAAATTCAAATTAAATTTTTTATTATTAATTTATGAAATGTTTAAAAAGATTATTATTACCATCGTAGCATCAATATCAAGACTCTCAATATGCCTATACTATTTTTGTTGATTTGCACCTGAAAAAATTTTACTTAGTTGATGAGTAAAAGTTACAAAAAAGGGTGTTTGAAATATTCGTTTCCGAGAGGTATTTTTGTATTGCATTTTCTACTTCAAGACGGGAAACGACACCCTAATTATTGATACATTTAATTTTTTTTTCAATACGTTGTACACGAGAAAAATAATTTTCATCTGCAAAAATGGTGTACAACACAGCTGAACGTGTAGAAATAATTTTTATTTATGGTGGCGAAGATCAGTGTTTGTTAAGAACAACTAAAGTATTTAACAAGAGAGAAATGTGAATAATCAAAATTACTGGACGAAGCAAAACAAATTGAAGTTCTGGGACAGTTTACAATGAATCATAATTTATCGACTTGTCAGGCAGCTACAGCAGCCGGATTATCCCGCGAATCTGTAAGGAATGATGATTCATGAATTAGAGAAACAGAAAGACATACACAGCAATTTAACTTTAGGAGGAATTTTATTGCATTTTCAAAAGGATGAGGCACCTCCCCATTATGTAGTTCCAGTTAGACAATGATTAGATAATAATTAAGCCAATAGGAGAGGCCCTATTAGATGGCCTCCCAGGACCTACATCCTCTTGATTTCTTTTTCTGGGGTCACCTAAAATCTGTTGTTTTTAAGACGCAACCTGATCCAATAGAGCAACTGAAGGAAAGAATGATCCAAGAATGCCAGGCTATGTCCAGAGAAACATTTGCCAATGTACGTCAAGATTTTGAAAATAGACTATATTATTGTCTTGAAAAGAATGGAAGTCATTTTGAACTGAATCAATAATAGGAAATGAAATTTTAATTCAACAAATATTGTTTTATTCATGAAACCAAAAACTACTACATCGAATGTAGCTTTGTAGGGTAACATTGAAGAGCATTTCTTAAGATAAGGTATCACAAGTAGAGGGTTGCCTTGCCATTTAAGACTAGAGAGTTTGGGGTGGCTGTGGGCGAGGAGATGAGTGAAAACAAGTTAGCTATTACATCATTTTGTTTCCCCCTTCCTATTATGGAAATTGCTTGCAGCGATTTCTTATATTTCTTGGCTCTCAGACAGAGCCATTGTGATTTTTCAAATAGATATGTAGATGGGTTCAAAGGATATAAGAGTAGAGTGATACAAGTAACCGAAAGACTCAAAATGTTTTCAAAGGTACAAAGAATGAAATTTTCCACAATCTTTTTCTTCAATTCAGGTGTGTGGATGACATTTTTTATCCGTGATTTGACGAATCCTCAATCTCGAAATTCCTTCAATCACTTATTCAGTTTTGTCCCTATTTGAATTTCTAATTCATTCAAATAAATAATGATTATTACTAGATCTACCCCCAGAATGATATTTCATAACTGATTTGTTTTTGAAGTAATGCGAAATATGACGTTTTGAAGTATTTCAGCTCAAATATTATTGAGTAAAATTCGAATCTACCTGGAACGGATCTATTTTTTTAATAACATAATCTGTATGGTGATTCCGTCGGAAGTAGTTATCGATATAGATTCCTTAGTAGCCAACTTTTTATTCAGATTTCATGGTGGTAGGTGGTTTCTATATGATTATATCTAGAGTGTTAAATGTTGGAAGACAAGCAGTCAAAAGGCAAAAATAATGTTTTCTTGAAGAAGCAAGTCACGAATCTGCTGCTGAATTACTTGAAAATTTGAGAAAAATCAATCGTGACCATACTTTTCAAATCTGACTAGTTGGGGCTACCGTAACATAATGATGTGTCATCGGGAAAGTCTATTAATTTAGCAGAGAGAATGACTCCGATAACCTTCCTTGATAAACGCCATATTCAATTTCTCTCCAGGAATTGAGTACAATTTGTTTTCTGACACTTTATAGGACGGTGATCGGTAGGGTCAGCGAGGTTCGATCCCCACGGCCGGAAGATCGACTGTCACTGTATATCGTACTACTCCTGCTAGAAATCGCAAGTTGAAAGATGTGGCTTCAACTAGTACAAGTTTCTGCAGGTTGACATACCTAGGGGCGATAGCTGGTTAACGAACAAACAGATTTTAACAGATTTTTTTCAACTTTGTGACCTATCAGATAGGTAGCTTCTCAATGAAGTTTGTGATGTGCCTCAATACCAATGCATTCAAGCCGAAATCATTTCAGTAAAAACATCTCAAGACAAATACATCACAGGACTGGAACATCTCGCACAATGAAATCTCAATACGAGAAACAAGTCAATAACGCATCCAATGAGAGAAATACATGAAACGCCAAAATTGGAGAAGTTCTTGTATGAAATTTAAGTTGGCGAGATGTTTTCGACATGAGAATTTTTTGTCCTGAGCTTTCCTTTACTGAGGCCTTACTGTGGGTATGATATCGGCTGAAATATTGGTACCTGTGATTATGAGGGGTACCACATTCGAAGCAGTACCATATTAACAACTGTTCATAATAAACGATGACGATTGATTTTTCACCATCAAATCAAATCAAAATATGCTTTATTACCCAAGATCTGTAAAGTCTAGTTAAGTAAAACGTGTATATGGGATATTAAATTAACAAATATAAGCTATAAAATAATGCTTAGAGCACAAGAGCAGCGTATTGGACAGAAGGATATGAAGCCCAGCTGAATATGTGTATATGGGATATTAAATTAACAAATATAAGCTATGAAATAATGCTTAGAGACAAGAGCAGCGTATATGGACAGAACAGTATCAAGCCCAGCCTGCTGAACAGATACAAATAGATATAAGTACATGAATATAGAAAAAATGAGTAAATGTAAATATATACTGCTACGTGTTGAACATTGTTTACACAAAGCTACATGCCAATTACTCGATAGAGCCTTGGTAGAATTCGTTCACACATCCTCCATTCGTCCTCCCGAAAAGGAATTCTTTCACTTTCTTTCTGAATTTCTATTCATTATGGATTCGCCATGAATTGAAAGGAAGATGATTAAATAACTTGCTATTGAAAATAATAGAGTTTTGTGAAGGGACTAGAGTAGGTGTTGGAATGGTTATGAAATGAGACTGACGTGTACTATAAGTTGAGGTGTTATTAAATTGATTTTTAATATTTTGTGTGATAAGACACACTGTTTACAAAATAAAATGACATACTAAGGTCAAAATTTTTCTCTTCACAAATAATGGGTGGCATGAATCCCTGTAGCTAGCCCTACATAAATATATGATGGATTTTTTTGTGGAGAGAATACCGTATCGAAACGAAATTCTGCAATGAAGAGCCCTGAAAATTTGTTTTTCTCCAAATGTACTTTCTCTATGTTACATCTGAACGTGGCCACACTTGATTTGTCGATGTTGAATGATGAAAGATCAAAATCTCACTACTCTTTCACCCTTCTTATGTCGACGATGATTTGATCAAGTAAATTTGAGGCGGTATTGCTATGCCAGAGGATAGTGGTGTCGTCAGCGGAACACGTGAATTTTCCACTTATGTCAACATGGACTAAGTCATTGACATAAATGAGAAACAACACCGGTTTCAAAACGGAACCTTGTGGGACACCACTGCCAATAAAACGTTCCTCTGATGAAATTTCATCTAATAGAACATTCTGTCGCCGATGAGAAAGGTATGTTTCAAACCAAAGTAATGCAGATCTTCTAAATCCGTAAACTTCTAGCTTGCAAAAAAGTAGTATGTGATCTACACAACCGAAGGTCAGGTCACAAAACATGGCCGCCGCAGATCTCTTTCATTAAGATTGGTGTACAGGTTTTCCAGGTGTGAAAATATATCGTTTTGTGTACCTTCTGAAGACTGAACGCAAAACTAGGTTGAATGTATTCTATTGTTTTTCTCGAGGAAGGATATTACTCGTTTTTTACTAGTTTTTCTATAACTTCAGATAAGACGAGTAGCAAAGCAATAATTTATAAATTCGATTTCTGAAGTCCACCATTGCATTCACTGTAATATGTCTTCTTCAAATCCACATTGTAAACAGTTTTGAAAAATTCTGATTTCAACCTGTTAAAAGGCCCCAACGAAGTTGTGAAAATTGGAATTACAAATAAAATTTCAAACTCTTTGAAATGCCGAATTTTTCATCTAATAGAACATTCTGTCGCCGATGAGAAAGGTATGTTTCAAACCAAAGTAATGCAGATCTTCTAAATCCGTAAACTTCTAGCTTGCAAAAAAGTAGTATGTGGTCTACACAACCGAAGGCCTTGGTTAGGTCACAAAACATGACCGCCGCAGATCTCTTTCATTAAGATTGGTGTACAGGTTTTCCAGGAGTGAAAATATATCGTTTTGTGTTCCTTCTGAAGACTGAACGCAAACCTAGGTTAAATGTATTCTATTGTTTTTCTTGAGGAAGGATATTACTCGTTTTTTACCAGTTTTTCTATAACTTCAGATAAGACGAGTAGCAAAGCAATAATTTATAAATTCGATTTCTAAGGTCCACCATTGCATTCACTGTAATATGTCTTCTTCAAACCCATATTGTAAACAGTTTTGAAAAATTCTGATTTCAACCTGTTAAAAGGCCCCAACGAAGTTGTGAAAATTGGAATTACAAATAAAACTTCAAACTCTTTGAAATGCCGAATTTTGAGAGTTGCCAAAAAGCGTTTCCTTAATGGTAGCAGATGGATTGGTTTATTACTTCCCTCTTTTCTAATTTTTCACAGAAAGGCTTTGCCATTTGTTAAAGTTCAGGTATCTTCACTTTCTAGGGATTGTATTCATCATATTATTGAACAGGACATGGAATTTTGGAATAGTTTTGACATTATTATTGATAATTCATTATACATGAAGTTGATTTTATCATTATTGCCAATTAATAATGATAATAGTGGAATTTTTCCAAATATTCATGAGTTAACCACGAGTGGCAATTTTGTTTGGGAAAAGTTATTTAAACTCAAGATTAAGCCGAATTCAAATTTGTAAAATAATTTCAAATTCAAATATTTTGTGAGAAGAAAGCGATCAAGAAAATTTCAATCATTGCTCGAGATTTCTAAGATACGAGTACATATCAGTTAATTATTTAAAATAAAACAAATATATACGTCCTACGTATTTTACTTCAAATATTTCTGCTTGGATATCTTATTCATCAATTTCTTCACATACTCACTGGTATTTGATGAAGTTGGTCCACAAAACTAATAATCTTTTCATTGTCAATTGATCGGATTCGGGGTAGTCGGTAGGATCACCTGCATGTCCTGCTACTCCTTCAAAAAAATACTTTAATTCGGCCGTATGTGCAACCGACTCTGTTCCTGAGGAAAACAGTGAAAAAATGTTTGAGTCCTGATAAAATTATAAAACGATGAAAAATTTTCCGATGAGTAGTTGAAATCTTTTGAACTATGTTCTCTTGGCCAGAACAAGAAAACTAATACAGTGTAGGTATCCAAGTCCTCATAAAATGATTGTACTTACGGCCTCTTGGCCAATACAAGGAATTCAAGATAGTTTAGGTACCTTGGGTTTCTTTTTGGTTGTGGGATTGTTTGTCAATACTAGCACACCCAGATGTGATATGAGCCTACTTCTTGTCATGTTCATCAAACTATTAGAACAGCCCATAAATACAACGAGGATCGGAATAATTGACCACAAAAATTTTGAGAGGAATTATCAAAATATGATTCGTATTGAAGTCCTAGACATTAATTAATTGGCAATATCAAAGTTAGGATTTCTACCCAAAATCATTGATGTTTCTCCGAAAGTTATAGTGAAAGTATATATACTTTGTAAAATATGAATAAAGACCAGTTTTAAGTAGATGAACAATGTATGTACGAGCCCACTTCAAGGTCGTGCGTCGCTGGTAAGTATTTCAGAGAGAAACTTTAGTGAGTGGAAGAGAGAAACGTGTGACGTCATCGACGCAGGATGGAATGAGTATCGTAGCGATTCAAGCGTGGAACTCGGCCCCCTTAGTACTCCGCATCACCGATGGAACCCCTTTGGGACTCCGCCTCACCCCTCGGCCCCCTTGTCTCATTCCAGTCACGTGATTCCAATTAAAAAAAGTTTATAGTTATGAGAATCGAACCCACGACGTCCGCGTGGTAGACATTGTCCTTAGCCTCTACACCAACGTAAGATATTGAAAGTAACTGCGAATGTTGGGTATTCATAGCGTTAGTTTTATCGTGACCGAAATTGACTCATTCATTATACATGACAGCATTTTTTTTATTTCCGTAGACTTTCAACCTGCGATCCCTCATTGTATACGGGGTGTCTCAAAATACATCATTAAGAGAAAAAAACATGACGTTGAAGTGTACAGGGGGCGTCAAAATACATCATTAGGAAAATTTATTTTAGATTGATGAGGCTGTATCCTTTCAATGTGCGATCCCTCAATGTGTACAGGGTATCTCAAAATACATCATTGAGAGCGTTTTCGACCGTTTTGCGTGCGTTTTCGATCGTTTGCGTCGTTTTCGACCGTTTTCCGTGCGTTTATTCGTTATCGTTTCATCGATATTGTCGTTATTTCTTCGTATTTCAATATGACAGTCATTTACCACTTGATGTGTTTCGCTAACCAAGTGAGCATTATCAGGAAATGACTGAAGTCCATGCTTTGTCATATGAAGATTCATTTTGCTAATTTTCAGACTCTTGAACGAAACCTTGTGGAACAACCAACCTAACTTCTGTTACAGAGTAGTGTCGGTCAGCCAATCACAATGGAAAAATCAAATATCGCTCAATTGATTGTGCTAGATGTAGTTGAACTGGAGAATGAGGGTCGAAAAATAATAATAATAGTTATAAAACATTAAAACCTTGAAAGTGACGTAGTCAGCGTGGGAGGAGGTGGCGTGTGTGAGGATTTGCGGAAATGAATAAGTTATTACAAAAAATTATAGCGCAACTGTCAGAAGGGCACTAAGTTGTATATTCACTAATAATGATCGGATCGTCACGTACAGCACGTCGAATGGAAGGATAAGAAATGCAGAATTCCTCGACAAAGAAAAAGCAAAGATGACGCAACATGTCAGAAAGGCACTAAGCCAAATATTCGTTAGTGATAGTTGAATCTCAACGTGCAGCACATCAAATGGAAGGGAAACGAATACAGAGTGTACCGACAGAGAAAAAACAAAGATGGCGCGACGAATATAATATCCAACGTAATGTGAAATAACATAGTAAGAATTGCAAATTGAACAAATATCATTGAACAAACTTGGAATTGAAAAATGTTGGGTTATGAACAACTATAAGTTTATTCCAATTGCAGAAGCTCGATTCGAAACGCAGAATTCATTGACAAAGAAAGTGAAAAAATCATTGTATACTGAAACATAGGATATATTTGGATTCCTTCGGGTGAGAAGGTTTTGAATCCATCAAAAAACGGCCACTTCTGATTTTCACTTCCGGTCGTTCGATTCCGACGATTCTGTCATCAATGGATTCGTTTAGATTTCAAAAAACATAGATAATTATTTTACGAAGCCAAAAGGACCTAATGAACTATTTTCATTATACTAGCAGCAACAGGTCAATGTGAATACTCATTTCAAATGATTTCATTTGTAGACTATGAAAAATAGAATATCGAGCGCCTAATGTGGAATAGCACAGGAAGAAATGCAACGAAAATCATTGAAAAAACTTCGGATCGTCACGTACAGCATGTGAAAGGAAAGAATAAGAATTGCAGAATTTATCGACGAAGAAAAAACAAATATGGTGCAACATGTCAGAAGAGCACTACCCTTATCTTCATTAATGATAGCTGAGCATCAACGTGCAGCACATCTAATGGAAGGGAAAGAAAATGCAGAATTTATTAACAGAGAGAAAAAAAAGATGGTGCGACATGCCTGAAGGGCTCTAAGTCACATCTTCGTTAATAATTGTCGAATCGTCACGTACAGCACGTCAAATGAAAGGAGAGAAAATGCAATTCATCGACAGAGAAAAAACAAAGATGGCGCAGTATGACAGAAGGACACTGAGCCATATCTCCGTTAATGATAGTTGGATCTCAACGTTCAGCATATCGAATGAAAGGGAAACGAATGCAGAATTCATCGACAGAGAAAAAAAAGAAAGACAATGCCAACAGGGCACAAAGTTGTATCTTCACTAATAATAGTCGCATCATCACATGTAGCACTTCAAAAAAAAACAGAATTCATGTGTTTGTTGCGCTATTCATATCCAAGGGGACATGGATCAATGTTAACGCTGAATAGGCATCTGACAAAGACTCTTTGGTTTGCTTTGTTTCATTTCAGAAGATGTCATCACTAATTTTTATATTCATACCAAAGGTGACATTGATCACTGCCAATGCTGAATCTGCATCCGGAGATACGCAGTTCTTCAAGTGACGAAACAAAGGATCTTTTTTTGATTTTGAAAAATGTCATCACTTATTTTGGTATAAAAATTTCGAAGAAACAGACGCCGTTCTGTATGGATCATTCCATACTGCGTTCAGCTGCAGTCTCAATAACGTTGATATTTTATATAAATGGCTTTATAATATACTACCAAAATAAATAAAATGCATATCACACACACATTTTTTTTGAAACTGAAAACTCATCCTATACAGAGAAAGTTGTCAAAAATATGCAATAACGTAGAATTATATACGAGAGTTTATAGTGATGAATAAACATCACATTGAAAGATACAAGGTTGACAAAAGCAGGACATTTTAGAAATAAAGAAAATAGGTTTTTAAAGATAAACAGTGTGAAAACGCGGTGATTACTTCGATGTTGAGTTGTGTCTTGTGTTTGGTCGTTCGGTGGTGTTTTCCTTGATTGGTTTTTTGTCGTATCTGTTTTTGTGGTATTACGAGGGTTGTGTGTTACTTCCGTATATTTAAAAGTTTTTCTTCGTGGAATTTGGATATTGAGGGGTGTTTCTTCACTTTCTTCTTTCTGGGTTTGTTTTTGTGTATTCAATGGTGTACCTGGCTCACTGTTTGCTTTGATCCCTTCAAATATAAAAGGGGTTGATTCTAGTTCAGCAGCTGTATAAATTTGGTTGTCAACAAACAACTTGTTGTTTTTTATGAAACAATTTTTCTCTTCGTTTTGTCTAGCAAGATGAAGATGTCTTCTGAGGATTTTTCCTTCTTCTTTTGTTCAACTGTTAAGTAATTTGCAATGTGAATTTGCATACCTTTTAATTTACTGGCATTTTTCAAAACCATAGACTTCTTGAGGAAAGAGGTGAATTCAATTTTTAGCAGACTTTTTCCAGATTTACCTAAGGAATACCCGTTGTTCAGATCCGATTCATCTAGGTTGATATCTAAAAGATTTTTTAGGATGTTTATGGTGTCATCTGCTTTCAGTATTTCGTTGTCTCTCCTTTCTATGCCAAAAATCACGATGTTATTTTTCTTTCCTGCTCTTTCGAAGTATTCTATTTTGCTTTTTAGTTTTTGATTTTCTCTCTCAACCTTCTCGACTTTGTGTTTTATTTCCTCTACTTCAAGAGATATCCTAACTTCAACCGCCTCTATCGTAGCTTTCAAATCTTTCTTGCATCTGACCAACTCTTCAAAAATTTGTTTGTTCGTGATTTTGATTTCAGACATATTCAAATGCTTTATATTCGATGAATTTTGTTGCTGATAAGATAATCGTTTGTATTGGTTTTTATATTCTGACTGCTGTTTATTTGTGATCAAATGCAGGAATATGATGTTGTAGATCGTTCAGGAACTCGGAATTGAATCTCATTAGGTAAACATGATGTACTCATATTCGTATCTTATTTTGGAAAATAACTGTGATGTATAATTTACGTGATATTCTCTAAACTAACTGGAGCGATATGTACTTCACAGTATTGCAGACCACACACATATAGCCCACACATGTTGGAAATTTTGCCATAGTGTGGTGAAAATCGTATTGAAAATCCTACGAAATATAAGCGCATATATACAGAGTGAATTAATATTGGAAATACATCGTTTGGAACCCCACATAACCCTTCTCCCTCGAAATTTGGCAGACATGAAGCTGAGTCGTTTTGTAGAGTTAACGGTGGAACAGTTTTGCATGCGACGGTTTTGCGTGCGTTTTCGACCGTTTTACGTGCCTTTATTTGTTATCGTTTCTTCGTTATTGTCGTTTTTTTTCCTATTTCAATATGACAGTCATTTATCACTTAACGCGTTTCGCTAACCAAGTAAGCATCATCAGGAGATGACTAAAGTCCACGCTTTGTCGTATGAAGGTTCGTTTTGCGTATTTTCAGACTCCTGATCGGA